TTGTTCACCTATTTAAAAACCAGTTGTACTTTAGTTTCTCTTCAGCTCAGATCAGTCTTTTGACCTTTACTAGGTATTTCCTTAGAGAGGAACATTTCTAGTGAAAACTCCATCATTATATTGCTTACCTACAGGAAACATTTGTTTAAATATCCATGTAGTTATGAAACTCCAGAGATAAATCATTCCTAATGCCAAGTTCTCAGAGGAAAAAAACATGTTATAATGGATATAGGTCTCCTCAGATTTCCATTGCACCTTCTAGTTCAGGTGCCTAGATTATTCTCTCTACTCTCACTCCATCCTTTTTGCTTTAATGAATTTATTTGAACACTAAGATAATTACATTTTCTCACAATTCTCTTTATTCAATGTTACAAGGTCAAATATTTGTAGGAAATCCTATAAGGCAGAGAGTATGTCAAGAATTAGAAATTGAAAATGATTAAATCAAGAAAAAGAAGGGTAAAATGTAGTAATTAATTCAAGGATCAAGGATTAATTCAAGGTTTCTGCAATAAATATGTGGATATGTTTTCGAAATGAAAGATTTTTTTAATGTCAAGACAATTGATATATGATTTTCCATTGACTTGGGATTGTTGCTTATAAATACATAATGACAAACAGAACATTATACATGTAATATTTATAGGGGTCTACACAACCCATATTTCAGAGTTGAATACTCTAATGTTAAAGTCTTGTGATAAGTGAACAAGGCTTTTCCATGGAGTTCAGGAAACAAACTTCATGAGAAATGTTTTAACTATCAGAAACATGAAAGCCTTTTATTATTTACAGAACTTCAGTTGTATGCACTGACCTGGCCCTAGACAAAATCCATTTTCAAATATTTTAGTATCTATATACTTTATTTCAAGCTATTATAAAATTTTCTAGTTGGAATTTTAATAGCCTAATATAAATGCCTGTTTATAGGAGCTGCATTGGGATAACAGAATAACAGAGTTGGAAGGGACCTTGGTGATCTTCTAGTTCAACCCCGTGCTCAAGCAGGAAACCCTATACCATTTCTTACAATGGTTGTCCAATCTTTTCTTAGCAACCTCCAGTATTGGAGCGCCTAGAACTTCTGGAGGCAAGCCGTTTCACTAATTGTTCTAACTGCCAGGAAATTTCTCCTTAGTTTCAGGTTGGTTGTCTCTGGAACAATGCTATCATGTCACCCCTAGTCCTTCATTAAACTAGACATACCCAATTCTTGCAGCTGTTCTTTGTATGTTTTAGCCTCCAGTCCCCAGTGAACCGCAAAAAATAAGAAAACCAGAAACTTCATTTTAAAATGTAATTACTCTTAGTTTAACCTAGTTAAATATAATTCTGTTGAAAAAGCAGTGAAGTGTGATAAAGTTAAAAGCACACTTCAGATAAAAGAAAATAGCTAAAGGGCCCAAGAATCCCCAGTATGCCCTTTATCTGCCCTGAGAACAAAAAATATATATCATTTTTCCTCTTCTTCATGCTTGGAAGAAATTACATGGCTATACGAAACCATATCACTGAAGTACATGGCACTCTTTGAAACCAACCATCCATAGGATTTCTGATATTGAGGAGCTCCTGATAGGAGCCAAATTAGCAGTTGTTCAGCTGCCACAGAACACTCAGATGAAGGATTCTCCTTTCCCCTTCTGTATTGCATAAAATGTACATTTTCAGACACACGTAACCTAACAAAAGTAGGACATTGAAAACATCATTGAAAACAAGCAAACAAACCTGTATCTACTATAAATGATTGTGTTAAATTGGCATGTTCTGATTATAATAATTTGCCAGATTAGATCAAAACTATAATGATATCACTGTGATTTTTCAATTTTAAGGATCTTAAAAGTTTATCTTCAGAACTGGTGCAAAATAAATTGGTCTGCTAATATTCACAATCACTTAATGGTCTTGTGAATTTGTTTTACAGTACAGTAAATCATTAAATAGGCCATAGATCAGTAAACCATAAACTATGATTTATTAATCACCCAATTTAGTTTTCCTTTGTACCACCGTAAAAATGGGATTTCCTAGAAGCAGCTTTTTGAGAAATAGTCTGAATTCCCCTTAAGGTTTCCCACACAGTTTCCCACACAGTATCACTCAGTTTGTGACCATTGGGTACACTGTTTTATCAGTTTGATCTAGTGGTAAGGGGCCGGGCTAGAACCAGAAGACTTATGAATTCTAGCCCCATCTTAGTCATGTAAGATGGCTGGGTAATCTTCAGTCAGTCACTTTCAGTTAACCCACTTTCAGGGTTGTTATTCAGAAAATATGAGGAAGAAATATTAGGAATGTTCGCTGCCTTGAGTTATTTATAAAAAACTAAATAAAAACTGAACTTTACCAGACAGTCCAAGCAAATTGTGAATTGTATCAGTTGTTTACAGCAGGCTAATCAAGGTGCAAAAAAAGGTAAAAGAGAATGGCTTTTCATGCAGTTGCTTTTACTTGTTAAGATGAGCTATGTGCTATCTTCCTTCAAAGACAGAAAAATAATAAAGTGGCCTGCTGTCTTCACTCTTGTACAGTTATGAAGTACAAGTTTACAAAAGCAAAACATTCAGAAAGCGGAATGCACAAAGTGAGAAATTTCTAAATGTATCGTGGGTTGGACCATCTGTGCAATTTTCTGTAGCAAGTCACAATATTTGGTATATTAGAAAGATCCTGAGAATAACAGTATTTTTTTTCCAGATAACACAATATACCTTAACTATATTAAACCTCAATTAAAACTGTAGTACTCCTACTGTTACTTAAAATTCAACTTGTAAAAGCAAATGGATGAAGAAAGAGGCCAAATATGAACTGTCAATAGAGTTCAATAAGTTAATTTACTGTATAAGGGAGAATGTTTGATAAATTTACCTTTTTAGTCAAGGGATTGGTATGAATAGTGTCTTAAGAAGTGAAAATGAACTGACGGGATCTGTAAAGGACTGCAACTGTTACTAATGTGTGTGGCCTGGTTGCTTCCCTGCCTGAATATAACCTAGAGCAATGGTGGCGAACCTATGGCACAGGTGCCAGAGGCGGCACTCGGAGCCCTCTTTGTGGACACACATGCCATTGCCCCAGCCTTGCCTCCTCCCGTGACCCCCTCCTCTCGAGCAGCCCCCCCTGGAGACTCGCCCTCAAGGGTGGCCCACACAGAGCAGCGCAGCCAAGGATATGGCAGCCAGGCAGCGTAGACAAGACTCTGCCCTCACACCCCATCATGCAGTTGATGCTGCAGGACACGGGCAGAGGGTGTGGCCACCATAGCGCTGCTGGGCTGCCTGAGCAATCTGTGGCGGGCCCTGGAGGTGGTGAATGGTCCTGTGGGCAGGCGGGGCGGTGGATGGGGGGGCAGAGTGGGGGTGGGGCCAGTTTTGGGGCACTCGGTCTCTAAAAGGTTCGCCATCACTGACCTAGAGGTTTGTAGCAGAAACTTGAAAAAGAGGATTAGAGCAGTAAGTGGACCCATTCTAGTTCATAAGAGATAACAGTTTATGAAATCAAAGAAACAGCAAGAATAGCTGTCAGAGGAAGCACTATTCCAACAGGAAGAGAGTCGAGCAAAGAAGCAAGCTCAGCAGACAAGAGTGACAAATAAAAGCAAAATTCACAAATATATTTTGTACTGCTGAAATTAAACAAAGAGCTTCATGGAAGAAACTAGCAATGAATACCTTGAGGATTACAGTATTAGAGACCTGGGATGAAAATAACAAGTAATTCAACAAAGACAAAATGATACATTTGGGAAACAAAAATCAAACACACCGGCACTGTCTAAATAGGGGGATATCTCTTTAATTTACAGTAGTGGCCAAAATTGTGGAAACCTTTTGGGAAAAGTGTACAGTAGAAATGCCACCTTTGGTTTGTTTCCATCAATTTTTCTTCTAATTTCTTTATAATTGTAACTTTGTTCACTTAATAATACCATTTTACATCGGTTTCTGGGCAATCAATCAACTCTTTGCACCGTTTAATTTTATTACGTTTTACAAGCTCACTAAATGAAAGGAAAAAAAACCAACCAACTTGATAGCGGTCACATAGCACACTGACAAATGTCCTCCTCTCAGCTTCAGTACATGACATCAATAACTGAATCCTACTATAATCTGATTGGCTCATTGCCAAAACAAGATGACACCTGATTGGCTCTCTAAACACTCATGCTCATTGGCTACAATCAGATGAAGGAAAGCTATCTGATATCAACCTAAGCAAGTTGTGCTCCCTTTTTCTGGTTATCTGGCTATAACATTTCATAGAATACAGTACAGATAATTGAACAAACTATGTTGCATTACATTATTGATTAAATTATTTTTCCATTGATATATAATGTTATGGTACTACTCCAAAAAAAGTGGTGTTATTAGCCATGAAACCCCAAAAATACACTTTTCCCAAAAGGTTTCCACAGTTTTGGCCACTACTGTAGTACTTAACAAATGACTGGAATTGATGGCCCAAATGAACTCTTCAAACTGTATAATTCTAAATTAAGGTGCACCCCAAATAAATACAGTACATGATGAATAAAATAATTTTATTTCTTTTACAAAGATTATACAATTATTGTCTACCTTAAAGAACACCTTTTAGCAATTGAGACTTAATTTATAAGATTCCGTATGTCCTTATTACATAAGTATCACTAATTTCAAGATATTTAGTATGAAAATATGTAAGGTCATTTTGAAGTTTCTTTATACCATAGTTTACCATTGCACTGTTTAAAAGAATAAAGTAGAATTAACTCATCTCGCTTTGAAGATCTTTTTCTGAAACCAATCTTCTATCTTTGCATTTGTAAAGTCAAGCAATTTTTTTTATAAAAAAAGGCCAATCCAGAAGCTGTCAATTGATGCCAGTATATGAATTTGATTCTATGATACCAGTACTTTAAAAGAGCACATCGGTTATACATGGCTTTGAACCTTGGGCTACAATTATGCTACCAAGCTCAAATGGAGTCTCAGTCATGTGGCACTGTGCACTTCCTCTGAAGACTGTTTAGAGTCCTGGGTTGTCCAGATCTGATGAAGGTGTTGAAGGCGTTCTGAAGTCCTTGTGCTTACATTCAGGGCAGGATGAACCTTTCGAATGCCAGACTCACCCATTAAGGACAGGCCACAAATCCCAAAGTAGGCATGAAGAGCATCTAGAAAGGGAAACCAGAAATGAGGGTGTATGTTTGAGAGATACGTATACAGGTAGTCCTCGATTTACAACAGTTCCTTTAATGACCGTTTAAAGTTACAATGACACTGAAAAAAGTGGCTTATGGCCATTTTTCACATTTACAACTGTTGCAGCATCCCCATGATGACGTGATCAAAATTCAGATCCTTGGCAGTGTCCCGGGGACATGCGATCACCTTTTCTGACCTTCTGACAAGTAAAGTCAATGGGGAAGCCAGATTCACCAAACCATGTTACTAACTTAACAAATGCAATGATTCACTTAACAACTGTGGCAAGAAAAGTCCTAAAATAGGGCAAACTCACTTAACAAATGTTTCACTTAGCAACATACACTTTGGGCTCAATTGTGGCCATAACTTGAGGACTATCTGTACTATACACACATAGGTACACACAGGACAATACAATAATAACCTATTATTTTCTAAACTCTTTCCACTGAAAGTAAATAATGAAGAAAGCCTCATTCTGACACACAACTACATATTTTTAAAAAATATCCTTTAATAGGCTAAGCTTAGAGAATACATCATGAAGGTTTGTTTATATTCTACCTTTTGTTCAGCTCAAGACAGCATATGTGGGACTCTTTCTTTCTTTCTTTCTTTCTTTCTTTCTTTCTTTCTTTCTTTCTTTCTTTCTTTCTTTCTTTCTTTCTTTCTTTCTTTCTTTCTTTCTTTCTTTCTTATAAAAAACATAAGCATTTGAGGTAGATTGGGCTGAATGACAGTGAATGGCCCAAAATCACTCAGTGATTTTAGAGCTCTAATACATCACAGGCTGAGAAATTCAATGCTAAGTATTGTAGCTGGATTTTTCTCTCTCAATGCCAACATGTAGATCCATTATTAAGTTTGCAGAATATAACAGAAAAATATTTTCTGTTTGGCCAGTTTTAGCTTCACTACTGCAACATATGCTCTACATGGGAGTGCTGTTGAAGACCACCTGGAAGCTTCACTTGGACAGAAAGCACCTGCAGTCATAGGCATGTCTCAGTATGCTCGTGTAACATCTGCTTCATGAGCTGCACTGTTGCTCGCTTGCTTCCTGCTGCAATTCAAGGTGCTGGTCATTTCTATAAAGCCCTACAAAGTACAGGGCCTAGTACTTTAGGGATCACCTGTCCCTCATAACATCTGCATTTAATCTGGCAGTATTGGCACGCTCTGGATTCCTTTGATTAAACAATGCCATCTATCAGGACCCCAGAAGTGCACCTTTTAAGTAGTAGCACCTGCCTTATGGAATTAAGTTCCCTCTGAGATCCAGATAGTAGCCATGTTGGTGGTGTTTAAAAGAGCCTTGAAGACTTGCCACTTCACCAAGGCCTTCAGCAAGTATGAAATACTATGGTGAAGACTCTAAGCAAAGTTTATATTGTTAATAAAAGCTGAGTTCAGCATAATTAGTGCCAGCATATGAATTCAATTAGAAATCTTCATGAAAAGAACATATGAACTTCCTAGTAAGATCCCTGCAGATCTTACATGTTTATTCATGTGTCTACCAACGGTATGGTTAACTCACACAATCTTGCAAAACTTGTAAACAAACTTTCTAAGAAATAAAAACAGGTTGTCCAATATAGTCAACATTTAAAATTCTGATATGGACAAATACCAAACAATTTGATTTAAAGCCTCAAAATAATATTTAATCATCAAAAGGTTTAGAAAACATTTGAGGGTGTTTTTGGTTTTTTTTTTCAGATTCTGCTCATAGTTTCTGGGGTTTTTCTTCAAAGCCAGGATCCAAAATGACTACATGATTCCAAGGAAATTCTACATGTATATATCATGTCTTTCAAGCCAAGTTTGACTTCTGGTGACTATGAATATATCCCTTTAGTTTTCTTGGCAACAAAACAGAAGTGGTTTACCACTGCTTTCTTCTTGGATGTTAATTTTAACTTTCCAGTCTAGCCTAACCAGGTCCAACCCTGCTTAGCTTTCTAAGATTAGCCAATACATCACAGATCTTCACAAAGCCTTAAGTTAGTGCTAGAAAATTCAATTCATACATTCTGTGCTGAACCCTGGCATAGAGAACAGAATGTATGAATTGGAAGGGATCTTGTAGACCTTTTCCTGTTTCCTAAGGAAAACTATTAAACCTTTCCAGAATATTAGCCACAGAACTGCCATCTGAAGACTTCTAGTAAGACCAGACTATTCTACTGCTTAACAGCACTGATGGGAAATTTCTGTTAATATGTACCCTAAATTTCATTTCTTTTAATTTAGTGACTTGATCTATCACACTCTTGAGTTTCAACACAGAATATCTTTGATGTTTCTTGCATGTAATAACCCTTAAGATAGTCCTTGACTTATGACCATTAGTTTAGTGACCATTCAAAGTTACAACAGCACTGAAAAAAGTGATTTACAACCGGTTCTCGCAGTTACAACTGCCATAGCATCCTCACGGACGCATGATCAAAATTTGGGTGCTTGGCAACCAGCATGTATTTATGACAGTTGCAGAGTCTTGGGGTGATTTCATTGCCACTTATGACCCTCCCAGTCAGCTTTCAATAAGCAAAATCAATGGGGGAAGCTGGATTCATGTAATGCCCGCATGATTCACTTAACAGTTGAAGTGATTTGCTTAACAACTGTGGCAAAAACAGTTTTAAAATCTAATGTGACTCTCTTAATAACTGCCTTGCTTAGCAACAGAAATTCTGGTCCCATTTTTGATCATGAATCAAAAATTGCCTGCACCTGTAGACTGCAATCATATCTCTACTTCATTCCTTTTTATAACAAGTAAAACATACCAAGCTCATTAAGCTATTCCTTAGAGGCATTGGTTTCTATATTCTGGTATCTCTCCTCTGAACCTGTTCCAGCAGCTCCATGTCCCTTTTGAAATGCATTGGACAAAGTAGTTCAACTGCAGCTTGATCAGTACAGATTAATCCCACAATCTGGATGCAATATTGCATCTATTGTTAACGGAGCATAGGATTGCATGGGTTTTTTTGTTGTTGCATTACACTGTCCCTCATTTTTAACTGGTAGGTATAATTAGTACGTCTACATCTTTCTTACATACATTGCCATCTCATAAAGTCTCCACATTTCTATACTTATGCATTCTGATTTTTACCCCCAAAAGGAAAACCTTACATTTGTCCCAACTGAACAGCTTCCCAAAAGCTGCTGAATCCCAAAAAAGAGGATATAACAGGAATAGTTCCATCTATTATTTGATCCCAAGGACCTGGAATTCAAAGTTTCAGTACCCCGGACTTCAAAATATAAAAGCACTTTAAATTTCCATTTTGGAAAGGTCACCCAATCTGTTTTCTCTTGCATTTTTCCCAGATCAATGTTATATTTGTTTGCAGTTCATTCATCAGCCAGTACTGTATTTTAATTTAATTTGGTAAAAATCTAACTTACTCTAAAAATGTATTGAAAATTAAATTATAATATATTACAGTGTTGGCGAACCTTTTAGAGACTGAGTGCCCAAAAATCGCCCATCACCTCCGCTCCGCCTCCTGCTCTGCCCCCACCCACCCCCTGCCCGCCCACTCACAGGGCCATGCACCGCCTCCATGGCCCGCCACAGATTGCCCAGGCTGTCCTGCAGCACCATGGCAGCCACATCCTCCGCCCACACCCCGCAGCATCATCTGCACACTATGGGGCGCTAGGGCGGAGTCTTGTACCTGCTGCCCGGCTATGTCCTTGGCTGCACTGCTCCATTGGGCCATGCCCAGGGGCGACTCTGCTCCAGGGGGGCTGCTAGTGAGGAGGGGGCCACAGGGGGAGGCAAGGCTGGGATGATGGTGCACGTGCCCACAGAGAGGCCTCCAAGTGCCGCTTCTGGCACACGTGCCATAGGTTTGCCACCACTGATATATTACAATAGTTTTTTTCCCCTGGCAGATGAGATTTCAGATATCCAGAAACCGAGAACAGAAGCCTGTAAATTCAGGCTTTAAGAACAGCATGAAACTCAAAAACATTTGAGCTTGTTATCAAATATTAGTTATTACAACAGAAGAAGGGGAAAATTATTGAGTAGATATGAGAATATAATTCCTATACTTAAGTTTAATTACATATAAATGCAATCATATCACATTTGGTTTTTATCCTGGCACTGATTATTAGTTTTAGTGTATGGTCCTTACTGTAGATAAATTCAGGGTCTGTTTAATGCCAACAGTGTCCCAGAACAGCCTTTTAGGATTTGTAGAATGTTCTGATATTTTTGAGATGAAGTGATTAGATTAGAAAAATTGTAGGGTATTCTAAATGCTACCCCACAGTAACAGGTTTTAAAACTTGAATAGTTCTAGTCTATGATCTAAAACCTCAGTTAAGAAACTTGTGCTTTTTGTTATACTGCAAAATGTCTTAAGCTTTAGCACAAACTTATTTCTTTCCTAAATAATACCTACCAGTGCATATTCTTTTTTTCAGCCACCATATACATCATTTGTATTTTCTAAATTGTTCTTTTATTAACCTTTCAAAGACTTTGAAAAAACAAGCTTTTTATAATCCATTTGAGTTTCTTTAGTCATCTGGAGTTGCACCTTAATTTGACTATATCACTGATAATCCAATTCCAGATTATCCTGTATTGTACAAATACCTGAGTCTTATTTCCTTCCATTGTGATAACTATTCATTTATTCTTACACTGCTTTCTCTTTTAAAATTGATTATTATTCCATATAATAAGCACTTTTCTATGATTACTTATACAGAATTTTGCCCGAGAGATTCTACAAAACACTTCATTTATCTTTTGAAAAATTAGAGACAAAATTTTGTTTCATTCTAGGAAACATTCCTATTTCCTTTACATCCAGCTCTGTTTTAAGACAATCTTTTCATTGTCATAAATGATCATACAAGTAAGCAAAAAACTGAAAATACCTGGATGACTATCTGGCCACTTAGCAAATCCACCAACAAGGCGATCTTGGGTTGATAAAATGTAATTTCTGTTTTTTTCATAGTTCGTATACTGAAATATTTTCAGAAGCTGAAATAAAAATTTATCATATTCAAACACCTCAGAAACGTTACAATAAAGCAATTTCTCATGAGGAACATTCAAAGCTAAATGATGATATAACATTTATATTAAATGCTAAACTGACAGCCTTAAACTAATAAATATTACTCAAAAATCAGCTACAAGTTTTCCCCTTTCTTATAATAATAGTAATAATAAAGTTGGAAAGGACCGTGGAAGTCATTTGGTCCAACCCCCTGCTAAGGCAGGAAAACCCATATCATTTCAGACAAATGGCTGTCCAGTCTCTTCTTAAAAACTTCCAGTGTTGGAGCATTCACAGCTCTGGAGGCAGGTTGTTCCACTGATTAATTGTTCTAACTGTCAGGAAATTTCTCCTTAGTTCTAGATTGCTTCTCTCCTTGATTAGTTTCCATCCGTTGCTTCTTGTCCTGCCTTCAGGTCCTTTGGAGAATAGCTTGACTCCTTCTTCTTTGTGGCAATCCCTGAGATATTGGAACACTGCTATCATGTCACCCCTCGTCATTCTCTTTCTTAAATTAGACATACCCAATTCCAGCAACTGTTCCTTATATGTTTTAGCCTCCAGTTCCCTAATCATCTTTAATGCTCTTCTCTGTACTCTTTCTAGAGTCTCAACATCTTTTTTACATCATGGTGACCAAAACTGGATGCATTATTCCAAGTGTGGCCTTACCAAGGCATTGTAAAGTGGTATTAACACTTCACGTGATCTTGATTCTATCCCTCTGTTAATACAGCCTAGCACTGTGTTGGTCTTTTTGGCAGCTGCAGCACACTGCTGGTTCATATTTAGGTGATTGTCTACTAGGACTCCCAAGATCCCTCTCAGTTACTATTATTGAGCAAGGTACCACCTATACTATACCTGTGTATTTGGTTTTTCTTGCCTAAATGTAGAACCTTACTTTTTTTACCATTGAATTTCATTTTGTTAGATAGTGCCCAGTGTTCAAGTCTGTCCAGATCCTCCTGTATCTTAAGCCTATTCTGGAGTGTTGGCTATTCCTGCCAGCTTGGTGTTGTCTGCAAATTTGATGAGTTCCCCATCTATCCCTTCATCCAAATCATTGATGAAGATGTTGAAGAGCACTGGGCCCAGAACAGAGCCCTGGGGCACCCCACTACACACTTCCCTCCTTCTTCTACTTCCCTTCTTCCTACTCATTCATACATTTTAATCAGAAATTGTAGTCATCAAGCCTGATTAAAAACTTAGAAGCTTGTATATTGTTGGCACAATAAAGCTACTAGTATAGAATAAGCAGACTATAGATTCTAAAGTCTTATTTGTACTTTTAAATTACCTTAAGAGTCGCTCCTACCCAAAATGAATAACAGGTATCTACAGGCTTGTTGGGTCTTCCTTGATAACCATTCTGTTGCCTCATAATACACCATCTCCTTATTCTGTTCAGTTCCTTTTCAGAGAAGACTTCCTCAAGTTTACCCATCAGGCACAATGATGCAATACCACAAAAAGTAGAGCCACCTATAACATGGGGGATACTCTCTTCAATATGTTTACAGTCTTTATGGAATTACTAATAAGATTTAATTTACATGAACTATCATCTACTATTAATCTTGTCAAGCAACTGCTGACACTAATAGCTTTTTCCTCCATGAATTTATTTAATCTTTTAAGGTAGCCTCCTACATGTTGTAACTGTTAATAGCCTCCAGATGACTTTAATTGGTTCTAATTCATCCAACTTTGAAAACATAGCTGTTATTTCACAATGTATATGGAAGCAAAAACTGCACATAGTTGTAGCAAGCATGACACTGAAGAAACTGCAATACCAATATGGGAAAAGCCAGCTGTTCTCAATGAAAAATTAGGGGGTTTTCCCCATTTTTCATAATAATCCTCAAAATAGAATTCAGAGCTTTCACATTTTGCCAGCATTGGGGCAGAAGTCAAGCTTAATCAGATTCCCACAACCACTTCTTATAAAGTGTTTAGACCAAAAAATTACTTACCATGCGATTCAAGTTCTGCTCCTTGAGCAAGACCATTATCATATGACTGAAAAAAACAAAAATAAATTGGCCAAGTAATTTTTTAATAGACAGTCCTTTTTTAATGTTGCATCAGGCAAATTGAACTTTAATTCTAAAGGAAAAACAAAGATCTAACTTTTTAAGGGCAATCACTAGAGGAAAGATAGAAACATTAACTTTGTGAAAGATTGGATTTTGTTTTAAAATCTAGGAATTAAAGTAACTTTCTGCTTGGATTTAAATATCTATAAGAATAACTCTATTATAGAAAAATGCTTTCTCGTCCCATCTTCCCAGTGTATTCACCTGTCTCACATAGTTTATCTGAGATTCAGGATTCCTCCAATGGAATCCTCCACCCTGGCACAGGTACAAGGAGCAGCAGCAGTAGTAGTATACTAGTATGTTGAGTGTATACTAGAATGTAGTGAGTGAATGCAGAAACTTGAGGGAAAGAGATTCCACACAAACTGAATCACGCAATACTTGACTTTCTTTCAGCAAATCGTAAAATGGCTTTTGCTTGTGCAATGACATATTGAGATTCAAGCCAATAAAAATATTACCTTAAAATAATATTTGTCTGGACAAAATAACAACTGATTACCCAGCTCTTTGTATTTCAGCAGCATGCCAATTTGTATTGCCTACACAAATTGATATTAAATACTAACAAGCCTTATTCTTTTGCACAGTAACATAAGATGTGGTGAAACAAACAAACATCTTTGTGTAGTAGTTCTCTAACAATGACGTCTATTTTGCCTTTTTTAAAGAGTCTTTATTCAAATAAATAAAGAGTCAGTGTAGTGGTTAAAGTGCCAGATTAGAAACCAGGAGATCATGAATGCTAGTCTTCCCTTAGACAGCCTGCCTCGTTTCGGCCTAGCCAAATCTCAGGGTTATTTTTGTGGAAAATAGGAAGAGGGGACATTACATACACCAAATAAAGATGGAATATAAGTCTGATAAATAAATATGTTATTCATAACCTAGAAATCAATATCAATGATAATCATTTGCCTCAATTATATATTTGCTTTCCAATGTAATGAAAAACATATAAATTGTAAAAGCAGTTTTACATTGTATAAATCTTAAATTCCAAATTGGGATTCACAATATTAGATCTTGTATGGAAAGACAACTATTTGAAATGAATTCAAATTAAGTTCAGTATCTTTATTTAATAAGCACTTTATATTAAATTGAATTAAATAATTTCAGGCATTTATTTCTGCCTATCAGTTAAAATGCCGACTCCTTTATCCTGTGTTTTAATCTTAATTAAGAAAAAACACAGAAGTCCTATCAGATGTTCAACATCATTATTTTGAAGCATACTTCATTTTCTAAGTGCCAAATCAACTGTACAATTTCCTTATTCTCCAGGGTCACAGCTTAGAACACGGGTAGGCAACCTTGGCTCTTTTATGATAGCTGACTCAGGAATTCTGGGAGTTGAAGTCCACAAGTCATAAAAGAGCCAAGGTTGCCTACCCCTGGTCTAGAAGTATTTTAGTTATTCAAAGTTTTCCCCAAATCATATCAGAATTAAAAATAAGCATTCTAGATTCTTCACTATTCACTAAATTATTTCTTTTATTGAAGGAATTCATGAGAAAGCTAGAGCTAACAACTTGAGAAGTAAGAAACCTGGGATTGAATCATTAGGTAAACATAGTGCCAATGCTATCCATAGCCCTAGCTGAGAAAAAGACTGCATACAGTCTATTACAACAAAAGAACAGAAAAATTAAGAAGAATTTAATCCTGGAGGGACACATATACAGTGAGGTTTTTTAGACTCTTTATCATCATTATTATAACTATTTTGTATCTGCAATAAATCTTATCTATCAGAGCCCTGTCTTTCCATGAAAGCTCCTGATTGCAGATTGAAACATCTAGAGAGACTTATTACAATCTATAAGGTTGAACATTTGTAGCATTACTACAATCCAAGGGCTTTTGAGCTTCTGTAAAAGCAGCCAGTTTGATGTAGTAAAAGCATCAGGTAGAAATTGGGAGACCTTGAGTTCAAGTCCCACATTAGACTAAAACAGTGGTTCTCAACCTTTTTAATGCTGCGACCCCCCCAACCGGTCGTAAGTTGAGGACTACTCAACCAGTCGTAAGTCGAGGACTACTCAACTGGTGCAGCACCGTTTGCAGAATGGGACTTTTGGCGGGCTCAGCAGGGCAGAGACAGCCTGGACAATTCCTATTGGCTTTTGAAAGCCAATAGAATTAGACTCTATTCAAGAGAGTCTATTCTATTGGCTGTCAAAAGCCAATAGAATAAAAGGGAGTAGCACAGCTAAAGAAAAGGGGGAAAAAATGGCGGACTGCGTTGTTTGGTGACCCCCGTGAAATGGTCGTTCGACCCCAAATGGGGTCCCGACCCACAGGTTGAGAACCACTGGACTAAAAAACCAGCTGAGTGACTTCGGGCCAGTCACTTTCTCTCAGCCCTAGGAAGGAAGCAATGGCAAATCACTTCTGAAAAACCTTGCCAAGAAAACAGTCTCTGAGAATCAGACATAACTGAATGGAAATAGAAAGAAAAAAACAGCTTAGGCTATGCCTAAGAAACGGCAAGTTCACATGTTAGGGATCGTGCAATTTCAGTTCTTGAAGGTTTCAGTACAAATACCCACTATATTATGAAGGAGAATTCTACCACTGTAATTACAGTTAAATGATATGTATTACACTAAATTTGAGCATATGGTTCTGGTCTTCTTTATTTTGTAAACCAGACATTTAAAAATATTACAACCTCAACTTTCACAAAAGCTAAATATTACAATTTTTACATAGTAGACAATAGTATCTACTACTGTAGATATTACAATATATCTATAGCATGCATGTAGAATATACTGTCCAAAACAGAGTTTAAATTTATGAATTCAGTTAATCAGACTCTAAAAAACTATGCTATTTTAAACATCATTTTTTGTAAACAAAATTAAAATTAAAAAAATTAAAAAATTAAAAATGAAACTCTCAATAGTCACTAAAAAGCAGATGCTAGTTTCTCCAACAGAAGTTACTAAGATTTGAGGTAAAAAGGATAGGAAGTCTATATATTTTACTAGTAATGAAAAAATACACATTGTAGCCTCCCTATGAATCCTATACCACCATATATAGTTGTTTGGTGGTATATGTATTACGGTTGGTCACAAAGTCAGCCAGATGTTTAGTCTTCAATTTGGCATTTTTGTCCATCTATTGCAGGGGTGTCAAACTCAATTTCATTGAGGGCCGCATCAGCATTGCGGTTGCCTTCAGGGACCTGTGTGGGTGTGGTCAGGTGGGTGCAGCCTACTGGGTGGGCGTGGAGTGGGTGTGGCCTACTGGGTGTGGATGGCCAGCTCTACATCATTCGCGTCAAGGGGGCTTGGGCAGGAATGGGACAGATCTGAGGGTCTCTGGCAAAAGGGGGTAGGACGAAGGCAAGTGCCAAAGCATGGTCCACTGGAGAAGCCTCACTGTTCCTCAGGCCATGCAGGGGGGGGCTGGATGGTGGCGCGGGCTGCCCAGAGCCCTGGGCAGCAGAGGTCAAACACCCAACCTGGTCCTCGAGCACCTGCGGCACCAAGCCCAGCCCCACTTCCCCAAGGGGGCACCCACTTGCACTTACCTCCTCCTCAAGGCTGCTGCTGCTGTGCATGCTCTCCTTAGCCAGGTTGCTCATGATGGATACAAGGGCAAAGTCAGAGGAAGGCCCATTCCCTCTCCATGGGAGGAGACCCGGCTTTGTATCCAAAGCTTCCTTAGCAATAGGATGGGAGACCCCAGGATAGGCCAGGAGAAGGGGACAAGGGGATGGTGAAAGGGCAGCAGGGCAGGACTAAGGCAGGACTTTCTTCAGACTCTCCCTCTCCTTCTTTCCTTCCTTCCTAAGTACAGAGTGGTAGGAAAATATTTGAGATGAAGGAGGGAGGAAAAACAGGCAAGAAACGCAGCTGGGGAGGTGTCACCTTTTGTGAGGAATGAAGAAATGCAGTCTACGTTACCTGCGCAATGCCGCCCAGCCCCCAGCTTGCCCAGTTTCGGCAGGCAGCAGGGTGCTCTCCTCACAGCGCCGGGAGGCTGAGCTGGGTGGCGCAAATCTGAAAACAAGTGCAAGGCCACCCAGTCCCCAGCCTGCCCGGTTTGGGCATGCAGGGGGGCGCTTTCCTCACAGCGCCAAGTGGTTGAGCCGGGAGGTGCGAAGCTCACCAGCTTTGTACCTTGCTCCCTGCTGAAATTGGGCAGGCTGGAGGTTAGGCAGCATTGCACTTCTCATCAGATTTGCACCACCTAGCTCAGCTCTTGGTGCTGTGAGGAGAGCGCCCCGCTGCCTGCCGACACTGGGCAGGCTGGGGGTTGGGCATTGTGCTTCTTTTTGGATTTGCACCGCCCAACTCAGCCTCTCGGCGCTGTGAGGAGAGCGCACTGCTGCCTGCCGAAACCCCTCCCCCAGAGCCCATCAAGCCGGATACGTATAGGTGAGGGCCATTTGCTGGCCACTTCCAAGCAATGGTGCATTTCTTCACCCTCACAAAGGGTGGCATCTCCCCAGCATGCACCCAGGGGGCAGGGCCGACGCGGCAGGGGCTGGTTCCTCGCTGTTTCCAGATGGCCTTGTGTAGCTAAGATTGAATGTGTTTCAGTATAGATGGCCACCACAAAATTGTACATTGGCTTCCAGATGGCCTGGACCAGGGCCAAGGCACTGGAGGCTGTGCCCTCACTGTTTCCGGGATGGCTTTGTGGGCCACATGAAACCACTTCATGGGCCGGGCCTTGTGTTTGACATGTCTGATCGATTGAGTCCTTCTCAAAAGATCTGGGATAGGCAGATGTTGATGAATACTATTAAAAGTATTGTCACAGGTTGTAAGCTGCCTTTTGCAACTGTCTAATGGTGATTTTGTCAATGCCAATGGTATTCAAGTGGTGCTTCAGATGTTTTGGAATTGCATCAAAGGCACTTTTTACCATTGGTACTATCGTTGTTTTCTTTTGCTACCATCATTTTATTTGCAGATTTTTACATTTTGTGATTTTCTCTTCCATTTTGCGGTGTCCAGCTATTTTAATGTCCACTATCCAGACTTTTTTATCTTTCTTATCAACAATTATTAATTGGGATATTGTGTGGCAGTTATATTATTATTTATGGTTAAACTAAAGACTACTCATTCAACTATTAATTCAAGAAATAGCTAAATATTACTTCTATGATATAATTTGGATTCAGTAATTATATTCAGTAATATAATTTTGGGGAAAAGACATATTGCAATAAATCAGGGATACTCATAAGAAGCAATATAATGGTTTTTTAAGTACAGGGTACAAGAAACATTTTAATCAAGTGACACTTGGCAAAACTTACCATGCTTCTTCTAATATAGTCAATGGCTTTCTTTGTATCCATTCCTGACCAACTATTGAGCATGTAGCATATACAAGCAGCACAGTATACAAATCTCATGTCATTTTCACTTCCTTCAAGGACTGCACAAAAACTACAAAAAATTAGTTATGTAACAGTCATGATATGATTTAACTATGTATTTTTGTTTCCAAGACAAAGCACAATGGTATGGTCTTCCTTCAATGATCAGGTTTATTAATGTCAATTATCAACATCTATCTATTTATTTATCTATCTATCAAAAATTTTCTTTGAGTCAAAGTCAACTATAAATCCAATTTAAGCAGATTAAGTTTTTTAGAAAATAGAGAATATTTTCTGTTATGGAAATATAATAATTCAAGCATCCATTTAAAGATCTAAACCTACACTTTTATTTTTAGTATGCATGCCCACATGATTATTTTTTGCTTTTGCTTCCACATCCTTATTTTTAGTGTTCATGTGCAAGTTGATACAGAAGTATTGTGTAAAACAAGACATATGACACTAAAGAGCTCAACTGCCAATTACAATAGCAGAAGAAATAATTGATATTAAACATGCACAATGGAATTTCCAACTCTATTGTGAAGCATCCTTTTTCAAGTGAGAATCAGGCATTTGAAAGACATATTGGACCACTTTGAATAATTTCAGAATGTTCCAAGCATAAAGCAGAGCATTTCTTGTTCATGTAGTTCAAGGTTAAAAGGGTTTCTAAAATATTTTGAGGCAGCCACACAACAGTTGCAGAAACAAAATGAGATTTTTCCACATTCCTATTTGATCATCATATTGCAAAGCTGTAGAATACAATGGAATTATTTAAAACACAGTTATAATTAATGCTGTAGGTCATAGAAGAAGATATAAGATACCATTCCTCCTATGTATAGCTACAAATATTTCAATTTCTTGACTCAACATTCTATATTCTATTTCTGTAAATGCAATTTTTATTGCATCTTGATATATATCCTGCCAATTTTATCATTTCAAAGCAAGAACATAGGTTTCCCTCGTTCCTGAGCTGTGCTGTGTAAAATGAGGAAGGGGCTAATAAAGACTATTCTAACTGGAAGGTCATGGTCTCCAGTTGCTTCTCTGAAAATATAAAATATAAAATATAACAGAGGCATGGAACAGGAAGATACTTTTTCTTTATATGCCTAGCTGCCCAATCCAGATTCAGCTTGACCAACTGCTATACTATATTAGTGTGCATAATTTTTTTTCATTTTTTTCTTTTCTAAATATATTTTACTGTACCTCCCATCTTCCAGCTGTAGTGCTCTGAGTCCTGCCAAGCAGGCTTCTTTATTTACTCGGCTTAAATCATCGCCAAGAATAATTAAGCAACAAAGGCCAGTGTAAGTCATTGCTATGTGCCCACTGTCATATGGATGAGAAATACCAGGCCCCTGAAACAAGAGAAAATTCAAGTTTGTTTACCAAACAAAATTATAATTACATATACATAAATATAAGTATTTATTTTGCAGATAATATCCCTGAGCTTTTTATTGTATTTCAGGAAGGATCTAGTCAGGAATACTGGCTTGAAAAGCTATATATAAATGTCCACCTCTACATGACCCACACATATCAGCAACTGTGCAAGCATAAGAAGCAGCTATTTTAAGGCTACATGATTTATGATACCAAAGAGCTTTTGCAGAGACTTTTTCTCAATTGTTGACTGTTTTTAATCTCAACTTACCTCTGTAGGACAGAACTCCAACAATATAGCATTTGATAGAAAATAACATATTAACACTACAAAAATACCATATTTATTATTTCAGGCAATTTTCCTGAAGTTAAAGAAGCAGAAGCTTCACTTTTCAAATAGAAAGTTATAAACATGGTATCAACAACATCTGTTCTAGGATCTTTATTAAATTATTCATAAATGATTTGTTATTAGGATGAACCATGGCATGGCAAATCTATTCAAACTGGGAGGACAGCAATTAAAAAGTAAATGTAATAAAAGAGTTATAGTAAAAGTGGAGCAATTCTACTTGAAGAAATTCAGAAACTGAAAAGATTATTGGACAGCTGGCAAGTCTGTTAATTCAGGTGATAAACTGAGACAATTGAAACCTGGGAAAGTTAAACATCAAAGCACCCATCAAAAGGAAGGGTTTCCCCTCCTGTATTGGTTTTCAGAATGGTGTATCCAGGCCACCTTCATTTAAGAGAAATGCAGGTATTACATTATGACATATCTTCATGTATTCTATATGACTTTCAACCGTTCTGGTGGCGGGGGGGGGGGGGAGAGAGAGAATTTCTTGGCTTGGAAATGTTATCTGTTTCTATTTGAGAAATTTTAATAGACCAACATCTGACAATCCCCAGTAAGGATGAAAATAGTAATGTGGTGCTTAATAGTTAATGTAATTGAAAACCCACCCAAAATTGCATCTTGCAGTTTGTCTTTATCCAAGGTTGCCCAATAGCTAATAAAAAAAAAAAACCACTTTGTTTGAAGGTTTTGGATTTCAGAGCAAGCATAAACCAGAATTTCTTTGAACTATGATTTGCTTGCTAAATACCTAAATAATCATATCAGAGAGAAAAGGAAAAGCACATTCATTTTCCAAAGTATGGTCTGAATTATTCTATGATAGACTGGGAAAAATGGCTCATTATTTGATTTAAGATATAAAAAAATCTGCATTAACTTAAGGCTTTTATAAAGATACTGTATCTGTAAATAATTATATTTCAGTCTCTAAATAAGAATATTTTCCTACATTTTCAGAAAATATTTCAGCATTTTTACTTTATATCTTTTTAATTTCTACCCATAAAACACTATGTTTACATTTTACACCTTATTTCCATTTTAATTTCTAAGATGTCAGTTAAAACACATCATTCACTAACCTTAGATGGATTGAAAGGGATTCCTAGATATGAAGAACCACGGAAGCCACAGTGATGCATGTTTGTTCCTTGAGAGGAAAAAAAGCCACGTTATTTTGCATAGGAGAGGTCTCTTAAAAACTGCTAGCACCTGGTACTAAAAAAAAATCAGCTGAAATTTGAAGACCTAGTGTAGCTTACCACTAGAGATATTTTTCAACCGATGATAACAACTGGGACCAGAATTTCTGTTGTTCAGTAGGATGGTTGTTAAATGAGTAGTGCCCAATTATATGATCTTTTTTGCCATGATTGTTAAGTGAATCATGCAGTTAAGTGAATCCAGCTTCCCCCATTGACTTTGTTTTTGGAAACTGGTGGGAAGGTCACAAATTACAATCATATGATCCTGGAATGCTGCAACAGTTAGAAATACATGTCAATTGCCAAGTGCCCAAATTTTGATCAAGTAACAGTGGGGACGTTGTGATGGTCAGAATTTGCAAGGATCAGTTGTAAGTCACTTTTTTCAGTGCTGTTATAACTTTGAATGGTCATTAAATGAATGGCTGTAAGCCAAGGACTATCTCTAATGTAATCATATATACTTATTCATTCATACATACATACATACTTACTTAGAAATTCCAGTAAATTCAAAATGTTTACTTTTGAGTAGGTATGCAGAGAACCCTGCCAATCTTATAAATTCTAGACAAGATATAAACAAGAAAAGTCCCCCAGAACTAAGCATCACTACAAAGTATTAAAAAATACAAATGGTAGACAGTTGATGGTCCACAATAGGAGGCTGACCTAGCCTACCGAAAGCTAAGAAAGATTAGATCTTGTATTGATCTGTAGATCTGTATTGTTGCAAGTGTGTGTGTGTGTGTGTGTATGTGCACTCGCGCTAATGTTGATTTCTAGTGATTGTGTCGAGACATTATTCATTTCTGGGCTACTCTCTGCAGTCTTCTTGGCAAGTGGCTTGAAAATGGTTTGCCACAGCCTTCTTCCTAGGGCAGTGGTTCTCAACGTTTTTAATGCCGTGACCCCCAACCGGTGGTAAGTTGAGGACTACCCAACCGGTCGTAAATCGAGGACTACCCAACCGGTCATAAGTCGAGGACTACCCAACCGGTTGTAAGTCGAGGACTTTCCCTGCCCGGGAGCACCGTGCATGCGTGGTACTGCCCCCTGTGCCGGCCGAGGTGTAGCTGGCAAGCGGCAGAGATGGCACAGGCCGACCACTGGCTGGACCACCAGCTGGCCCAGCCCAAGGGAGGTAAGGCACCCGCCGGGCCCTGCGCGCGCCAGCAACCCTCCCTGCTCCCACCGGCCTCCCACCTCCCACCCCTGGCCCTCTTTTACTTACATTTTTAGTAGTTGCTCAGCAGGGAGGGGTGGAAACTTCCAGACAGCTCGCCTTCGCTGCAGACAACTTGCAGCACCATTTGCAGAATGGGACTTTTGGCAGGCTCAGCAGGGCAGATAGAGCCTGGACAATTCCTATTGGCTTTTGAAAGCCAATAGAATTAGACTCTATTCAAGAGAGTCTATTCTATTGGCTTTCAAAAGCCAATAAAATAAAAGGGAGTAGCACAGCTAAGGAAAAGGGGAAAAAAATGGCGGACTGCGTTGTTTCGCGACCCCCATGAAATGGTCGTTCGACCCCAAATGGGGTCCCGACCCACAGGTTGAGAACCGCTGTCCTAGGGCTAAGAGAGAGTGAAACTGACCTAGCTGGCTTTGTGCCTAAAGTGGGACTAGAACTCACAGTCTCCTAGTTTCTAATCTGGTGCCTTAACCACTATGACTATACCAAACTGGTGCTCTCATACAAGGTACAAACAATCTGTAAAATGCAACGGAAAGGAAATTTATTTACAATTTAAATAAAATGGATATTGTATAAAATGCTAGAATAATAAATATTAACATTGGTATAAAACGAACAGAATTTTAGAATGTCTTCAAAGAACTTCAAAAATATGCTATACTTTCTACAGATAGCCAATTGCAATTGTCATCACTAAGGCAATTTTTTGAACAATGGATCCATAATGTAACCTTTATAATATCTGTCTCTGTAGACAAACTGTCCAAACCATGTTCTGGAAGAGGAACAAGTTCTACCTTGAAGGTGGATTTTAAAATGACAGGCTACAAGAATGTCATGATTAAAAATGTTACATTGGATGTACAAAAGGAACTGGCTAATGTCTTAACATTTAAAAGAGGTATGCTAACAACAAATTGAGAGAGACCTGAATAATTTTCCTACACTGGATTTATAAAATTGTCTTGTCAAAATTTTGTGATAAGAGACAAAGAAAAATGAAAAGAAATAGTTCTAGCATATTATTTGAAGGGACTAAAGTTACAAGTAAAAGGAATATAAAAAATACCTCTCAGGAATTTTTAGAATATAAACACAACTAGGATTTTCAACTCATTATTTGCACACAGTTATTTTTAAAGGGAAGAAAGCTATTTGTGAATTTTACACAAACATTCAAAGGTAAAAGCCCATACGAACACCAATCACAAGCAAGTTTTCTGTTCTTTTTTTAAATTCTAGGACTGCAAATACTTACAAAGAGATGCTTTGATACATGCAGATATATCTTTTTCCAAGCTCATACAGTAGTCCTGGAAGCTGTTTCTGACTGCTTGGCCAGACACAGTTAGCAGCAACTTCCAAAGCAGCTGCACAAGCCTGGAAAAAGATGCAACTGCTTTAGCAGTTCAAGGAGATGGGTCTCGTATACACCCAAAGTATTTTTTCTGAAGCACTTGCACAATCCTACAAAGCACTGTTGCTTTTAAATTATCTGTACACAATCCAAGTCTCTGCAAATCTTGGTTCCAATCTTCTTTAACCTGATACCTCTAAACTAGGTGGGAGTTCCATAATCGCCATTGCAGCTAATGATTATGAGAAATGATTCAACACATTTCAAGGGCACCAATTTGGGAAAAGCTAGTATAATTTTTAATTCAAGTACTTTTGAAATTAATTACCAAAGGGGATACCACAATAAATGTATAAGAAATCACAATAAGAGTCATCCAGCAATTTGAAAATGAAACAAACTGTAGCCAAATATGAGCTTTTATAATAAAGATTCCAGAAGACTGCCAAAGTCTAATGCTAAAGTTGATAGTTAGGCATGTTTTGAAATAATAAATGAAGTATTTAAATTTCATATTGCAGTATCAATGAGTGTTAGAATGTATAATTTTAGTTTCATAATTTAATATTGCATTAATAACTAGGTATAATTTAGTCTGAAAAGACCAGACCAAAGTAAGTTACAGACAACAACATTAAAATCTTGAGATGCCTTAAAGACTACAACACATTATACTTAAAGCTGTAATAGATTTGTTTCTCTAAGGCACTCCAATTAATCTTTCCTTTTATTTCGAACCAAATATAAAAGCTCCCTTTTGAAATTATAATCTAAAAGTTTTTAATTAAATTAAATGATGGGAGCATTCCTCACCAATGGTATACAGACGTGGCCTAGATGGGAAAGTAACTCCCTTTCTCAAATTTAAAATCTTATGCTCATAATTTACCGTAATTGATATATACAGTATAATACCGAACAGCTGTATATTTATGCGTGCATATGTTTGTATAAATCAAGTCACTGGTAGGTCTTAAAATTTGAAATGTCAAAACCCCCTGGATTATAATATGGTGCCATCTAGTGTTTACAGAAATTGTTACTACTTCTGGGAAAAAAATAAAACAGCTTTTTCTAATATGGTACTTCAAAATATAAGAATTTTAAGTATTGTAATTTCCCAGTCTTTGGCCTTATTCATTAGAGCACTATGCACTGTGGAAAGGGTAAATCACCAAATAAATTAGGATGAATTAAAGTATTTTAAAAGTATATAAAATATTCCATTTATTTAACTCCACAATTATTCTAGGAAATTCACACTAAAATCTGACGACAACATCACACTGAAGTGTAATATAGCTTGTTTAGTTTGATGGTTTCGCTTTAACAATTGGGTAAACTCAGAAAAGTATGGTTTAGGGAGACATAGTGGCACAATGATTAGAACACAGTCATACAAGGCTGACTTTGCTCACTGCCAGGAGTTTGATTCTGACCAGCTCAAGGTTGATTCAGCCTTCCATCCTTCTGAGATCAATAAAATGAGGACCAAGATTGTTGCGGGCAATATGCTATAAACCACTTAAAGTGTGCTGTAAAGCACTATGAAGTTTAAATGCTATTGCTGCTATGCTCTTAATCATTTAAACTAAGGTTAAAAATCATAGCAGTGACAACCCAACATTATAAAATTATTGTATCTATCTTAAAAGTGCAATTAAACTGAGTTCTCTTTTTGCTATGCGGTCAATATTTCTCTGGCATTAATCTAAGGACCTCTGAAAAAATCTTGGTTATTTTTGGTGAGAAAGACTGTACTCAAAGAAATATTACCAACCCCAATAAAAAGGATACATGAAATACCTTCTAAATCACTCTAAGCGTAATGTTTCAAGAACTCCTGCATACAATTCACAATAAAGTTGATTACTGGTATGTTTTACTCTCTGTGTTCAGTATTTAAAACAAATCCAATGTTTTCATCCCATATTTTGGACTTCTAGTATAGAGATTAAAAGTGCCTTTGTAAACTTGCTATTATACTTTTTACTGTATGTAATCTTGCTGTGGTTCCACAGAAGAATGATGATTCTATTTAGATTTTACATTTGAGCTGATTTCTACTTCTATCTATAGTATTTTTACTTCAAACATACTTTAACAGGCTACTACCCGAACATGAGGTAGGTACAATATCTGAAGGAAAACCTCTTCCAGTATCCCTCTACTTAATTCATAAGGTGAACTTTGCAGGCTCAAATTAAAGTGCCATGCTAAGATATGGTAAAACACTACAAGAGAGCAGGTCTTTTCAGAGATGACTTTGCCTGACAACCAATCTTAGTGTCTTGTTAATAAACACATCTTATTACAGGGAAAGATTGGTTTTGAAGGGCAGCATTTAATTAAAAATGAAAACCAGCTACCTTTTGTCTACATTGCTCTGTATCAGAAAAACTACCTCAGATTTGGTGGAGCAGACAGCAAATGGAATGTAGGCCACTGATATCCAACAAGCAAACTGTATTCCAGGCATCCTGTTAGTTAACTTTCTAACAAATAATGTGACTTCTTTCATTCTTTTTTCTTACAGCAGTGAAAAATTAGCCTTACATTTATTAAAATAATGGCAGATTGGGGGAGTTATCAGTCTGCACACTGGTTACAATACATTGTTATTCATACTATTCTAATAATTCTTAAAGAAATTCCAGCAAAATAATTAAGAGAAAAAAAACTGACAAAGTTTGTCAGAAAATAAATGTTTTTTTTTAATATAACAGCATGCAGAAACAAGTTTTTAAAAGTTATCAACAGGTACTCATTGGAATCTCATTCTAATCTCATTTCATTTCTTACCTACTTTGGCAAAAGTTATTATCAGCAATGTACAGCTTTTGCCAAGCTTCATTGCGCTGTTCACTGACTTAGGTAAGAACAAGGATATTTTAGGACTGACAAGCTCTTAGTATAGTTCAAATAAAACAGTTTCCACAATTGATTAATATTCAGATGAACAAGAGAATGGTCTCTGTTTTTAAAAGACACTACACATATGTAATGAAATATTGATAAAAGAACAGCTAAAAACTCACTCACTGTCTTCTGTGGGAAGGACTTGCAGAGAATAAATCCATTCTATTATATCCTCTTTGTTCACAACATCTAAGGAATCCAACATATCCAAGCCAGAAAGTGCAAAAAAAGCAATTGTCAACCTGAAAAAAAAGGGGGGGGGAATAGCAATTTACTATTTACCATTAATATTAACTTCCAACTCAGGTGATAGTTATTTGCATGTAGGACAACTTCAGAATTAACTGAAACAACATGAATGTTATAACATGAACATAAACTGAATGAAACATACAGTACTCCAAGCAAGTAGTTATTCAACCATCAAATATGTTCATTATACTTTGATGAACAGTCACATTACCCTCATTTCTCACCCTGACTCCAGCATTACAGTCAATTTTTCCCTACGTTCCTGTTATTTCCATTTCACTGAATTTTCCCTTTCCCTTAACATTAAATCAAATTTAACTGATCCTCTTACTCAGGCCTGCATAACAAGTTTGTGCATCCTGCTGACATTTTTTAAAGAAATTAATAAATTCACCTCTGCCCCAAAAAACACACTGCTGAGCACCTCCAAGTGTCACTGCTCCTGTCAGTTGCACTGGTCCTGCCATCTCATTAGCTGATGAACACCTGATCGGTGCATCAACTATTCCTTTGTGGTGAGCAATTATTTTTATTTATAAATGTGGCCCTTTCTTTCTACAAACTAGGGTGGATTTGATTTAAATCAACTCGATTTAAATCATAATTTTTAAAGAGCAACTGTCATCTCTGTCCTGCAGTGGCTCCTCCTCTGACCCGCTGTTGACTCACCAACAGTCCCACTCACTTTAACGGGATGGCTAGTGATGCGGCAGTGACAAAACAAGGTGAGGGATGTGGCGGGCAGCAGGTGACTAGATGCCCGCTAATAAGCGCTGCCATGATGGATCTGAAATGACAGGTACTTTTTAAATGTAAGGACTCATTCTTGCTGGTAGTTAGAATCTTTAATATTATTATTTGCAAACAAAATGAAGGTTTTCTATTTAGAATAATAAACTGTCAGATTAGTAAAACAACAATATCAGAACCGATTTTAGGTTAATAGTTTAATCACACAATAAATTCTTTTATTTAATTAAAACACTTAGAGCCTGGTACAGATGGATTTCTCTTCAAACAATCATAGAGTTTGTAATGTACATAGATTTGCAAAACAATGGGATAAAGGAATATTTCTGAACTATGTTTTATGATTTATCTCGTGGTTACTGTGAAATTATGTGAATGCATCAATGCAGTGCATATTATCTCAGCTTGCAGAGCTTGGATTCACTGAATGAGTTTACCAAAAATGTAAATATTGCAGAATATACAGCCTCATGCTACATAACTAAGCTCCATTTCATGCTGAATAAACTAAGTTATTAATGTATCTTAAGTAGAAAACTATATTTAGATAGATTTTTACTCCAAAAGTATTTTATTAAAATACATTTGATAAAAATAAAAAAAACTCTGATTTAAAAAAAATCCATTTAAATTTTTTTAAAAAATCATTGATTATCCACCCTGCTGCAGACTGTGCATGCTTGTTCTTATTCCTTTCTCACTCTTATGCAGATCACACACTTCTGTGGTATATCTGAGTTAATACCAGAAACACGATACTCTGTTCCCAATTATTTTTCCCTAAAACATTTTATTTACCTTATAATTAAAAGCTATCAAAACAGAGGCAGATACATGGGTCTCTACATTCAGACGTTCTGGAGACTTCTATGTATTATTGCTATGTATCATTTCAGAGAATGAGTAAGAAGAGCAATAACCAAAACATGTTCTAGAAAAGATTTATATATTCGGCTGGTGATGAAATAAATTATTGAGCAGTATTTTTCTAAATCAGAGTTTCATATATTGAAACTGAAGAAATCTGTAAAAATACATGTTATATGCACTTGAGCAGGGGTCTTCAAACTGGCTGAGGAATTCTGGGAGTTGAAGTCCACAAGTCATAAAAGGGCCAAGTGTGAAGACTCCTGCACCTGAGACATAAAAGTAAATAGCAACATTGATTGTGTACTGATTGTAATCATAAGGCACACTATAAATACTTAAATATTTACATAATGGAAAAAAAGAAAAATTTTCAAACTGATATAGAAGCCAAACAACTTTATATAGTGCTGGAAATCAGTCAGTCCACCAAAAAAAAAAAAAAATCTTAAATTTGAGCAAATGTTAAAACTATTGACTGAATTAGAATTTTGCTTAAATCAGAAACTGAAAATAATTTTAAGAAATAAATGTATATTTATATTATTTGCAAAATAAACTCATGCATTTCATTGCTTACTTAATTCCCCAAATTTAGTCTGAAATAGGACTATACAGATTCAAAGGAAAAACTGTTTCAGAGTGTACACAACAGTATACATAGCACCTGTCAGAAACTTCTTAAATCAAATAGTGGTAGTTCTTGCTTACATCTTCCATTTCAAATTCTAGGAAGAACTGTAGAATGCTACTGAATTCTTACACCATAATTATTCTGAAAAACCTGAGATGCAGTAAATGCACATTACAACAAGCTTCTTATTCACTTTGGAGCATGCAACATTTTATCTTAGAATCTTTCAATGTATGTTTTTGAAAGAAAGATACAGCTTAACATCAAAGTTTCACAATGCAATAAACAAAACACCACCAAGCACATCCAAACCTGCTACACCCACTTTTAATTGCAATGTATGTTCAAATTTTACCATTTAAACTCACTAATTATATTCCTTGTATACTCACCTTTAATAGATCAAATAAGTACCCTAGATCAAGCAGAGAGTACATTCAGAGTAAATAATGCAGTACAAGGACAGAATTAACCCCATCCAATGTGCGAAGCACAGAAAATAAAAACTCCTTTGATGTGTTTACAGAAACTGCAATACCTAGCTTAATAGTAGGATAGTGTACAAAGGACTAGAGTTAAATCCCTTGCATCTAATGAGACAAACTTTTACATTAATGAAGATCTTTAGCTCTTTCTCCACAAATGTAGACATATTATCTGCAGTTTAAATAAATTTTATTTCAAGATAGTGAACTGAGGAAAATCAGTTTCAAAATGATGAAACTGCTGATAAAGAAAATTTCATGAAAAAGGACATATTCTCTGGCTGCTTCTTTTTTAGAAGCCCCATATTTTCTTTTTCTAAAAGGCTTGGACATTAAGTCCACATAATACTCAAGTATCTTGATCTCAACTCCAAGCCTAGAAACATGAATTTGCCACACATCTTGAGGGCAATCTTGCAAGTGTTCACTCAGAACTAAGTTGGACTGAGTTCAATGAGGTGCACTTGTAAGGTTCAAAAAAATACTTTATGTGCAATGTTTGTAGTACTCACCAGTTTACTCTACCAGATTTGTCCAAGAACAGAATAAATCCACAAAGAACATTTTCTACATTTTCCATTTCAAATTCTATAGACTTATTTATCTTTTAAGCAAATGCTTTCTCTTTTTAATTCAAATTTTCAGCCATGTGTGTTGAATTCTTTTGAGAACCTTTCACTCAGGCAATCAGGCCTTTGCAAAGTGGGTACCCTACCAACTAAATCAGGTAAGAGTTACTGTCTGCTTTCAAACCTCTATCCATCTCAGACAGGAGAACAAGCATTCAAAAGTTTTGATAATTGTACAACAAAACATCTGGATTCTGATCAAGTGTAAGCTGCAAAGGTTAACACCTTAATGAAATGAAACAGAAAGTATTTTAACTGTTTTGAAACTAATAAGTGAAAACAAGATCACATGTATGATCTGTTTTCCGAAATTTGACCTAAAACACATCAGGGAAACTGGATCTAATTTTATTTTAGTTCCAGTGAGATTGTCTACACCCAATAAATATTAAAGCTATCATTCGAAGTATGTGAAAAAACGGGGATATCTCTGAGCAGACATCTGTTTTCAATTTCAAGCTGCCACCGACAATCATCAAGGATTAGGATGCGGGACTTTTGGCGCACAGTCAATTTTAATTAAGAATTAGACTAACGCCATTTCACAAATATTGACTTCAGGAAGCTTCCCGGAGCGCCACTCCAGCCCGCCGCCCCAACACCCCTTAGTGGCCAGAAGACAACAAATCCTGGCGGGTTATTCCCGCTTCGGAGATGACCCCGCCCACCGCTCAGCTGTCCCAAGCACTTCGCGCAGGGTCTGCTTCTGGGGGGGGGGGGACTCGTTTACTTCCCACCCGGAGACCCTCGAGGGTCTTCCCGCTTCCCCGGGGTACCTGCTGGTCTCCAGGGACGAGTAGCGTTCAGGCAAAATCTGAAGGCTGCGTTGGAAAAACCGCACGTGGCGTTCCTTGAGGAAATCCAACCTTTCCCCGTCCCCAAAGCCTCCCTCGTCTTCCACCAGCACCGGGCTCGCCATGTTGGCTTTCCACTTCCTATTCTCACACGCAACTCCGTCACCGGCGGCACAGTCATGTGACGCAGCCCAACGTTGGGCCTTTTTTTTTAGCGGCCGCGGCGGTAACAACCGGCAGCTGACCGAGCTTCATTCCGCCTCTTACGCCTAAAGAGGTGGAGTTAAGCAGCTTTGGCGCCAACCAAAAGCAGGTTTTAAAATTGCTCTGATCGTTCAGGCCACGGCATTGGGTAGCAAATGGGTAACTTTTTCCTGATTGTACACAGTTTTTTCCCCAATTTTGGGGGGATCAGATATAACACTGTTGCAAAATTAGAGATTATATCTGTTTACATGGCTTGATCCGGAACAATTAGAGATACGATTTGGAAGCTTCAATGTGCAGAAATGTAAGGAATGTAGTTTCTGTCCAAGAATATTCTGAAATTATGTATTTCTCATTGAAATACAATACTGATAAAATAATTATTAAAATATTTCAAAGACCACATACAACAAAGCCTTACATGGATTATTGAAACAGGTATTGTGCTATACCTATCTGTTCTATATTTTATGCAGATCCTCTAGATTTTTACAGGAGATCTTCAAAATTACCATCAAATCCTAGAATATATCTGAGCTTGTGCAATTAAAATCAACATCTTGCTCAGTAGCATTACAATGACAGAAAAACAAGGAATTATGTCATAAAATTTTGTCTCTGGAAAATTTTTTACAGGGAGTTTCCATGCCACAATATTCATTCTTTATCGCGTCACTATTGCACTTAAGACGGGAGTACAAGATCTCAAACCCAAACTTTCTTTTGGAACTAAGGATAAACAACTAAAACAAAGTTACAGAACTTTATTTTCATGAATGGTAATTAGGGTGAGATTACAATGTGCTCCAAAGTGACAAAGTTTGATAATACCCACAATGGACAAATGACTGGTGAAGGTGATGAAGCTTCCATATAGATGACTATTTTTTTCTTTGCTTATAGAAAAAACAATATCTACATATATGGGTGACTGGAAACCCCTTATTAGATTTTTTGGATGAAATGAAAACAATGTACTTACGATATATGGTTTTGATAATTAGAAAAACAACTGAATAATAGAGTGAGCTTTCTTTTGTCATCATAGAGAAAGAAATAATTTTGTAATTGTATTGACAGTATATTTGTTGCAAAAGAAATCAGAAGTTTTTATTTCTTTTGGCACGTTTGACTTTTTTCTATTTCTCTTTTCTGCTTTTTCTTTTTATTAGTTTGTCTTAGTTTTTATGTTCTTTGTAAAACTTTTAAAATACATTTTAAGTTGCACAATTTAATCTTGGACAAGCTTACTTTGAAACATTTTCAGTTGTTTGGAAGAGTATGCAGAAAGAAAATAATACTGTCTCTCTCTCTCTCTCTAGAGCAGGGATCCCCAATCCCCGGTCCGCAGCATGCCAGCAACCAGGCCGCGCAAACAAGCAAAGCCCCATCCACGGGATGCAGGCAGCACATAAAACCACGCCCCCTCCACTCCATGGAAAAACCTCTCTCCATGTAACCGGGTCTGGTGCCCAAAAGATTGGGGACCTCTTGCTCTAGGGTTTTTAAATGTTTTATTTATTTGTAAAAAAATTTAGTTTTGAAGGATGGAGATTAAGAAACAACTCATTTCTCTATAACAAGAGCTTATTATTTTCTGTCCCATTTCAGTAACATTAAGATATTATCTGCTTATCCTCTTAAATTAATCTGAGATACATTATATAATCAATCTACTAAGTAAAGCAAAGAAAAAACACTTGTTATTTTTATCTGTTTATTTCTGGATTGAAAAAAACAGTGAAAGTACACAGAAAACAATACATTCACTTTTTTTGAACTTTACAGAAATAGGTCACTTGCTAAACTCGGGTTCTAGAGAAAAAAAATTCAAACAAAAAAAAGCTTTTGCAAGTATTTTACAATGAAACAATATACTTGATTTTTATTTAACATAACATATGTACATTTACAATATTTCTCATATATAACACAAACTAATAATGTTGTTGTATTATCTTCAAATAAATTATTTGCAGATGTCCAATTATAATCCCTGTCGCCAGCTTGGGACAGCCCTATCAATATAAAAACAGATTAGTATCTTGCAAATATATTAATCATATAAAAGTTCATTAATCACATAAATATTTAAATTTAAGGTAATTTAAGATGTACATTAATTATATAAAATATTTTAATTTTCTCACCTATGAGGAATATACAACACTGGCCCTGTACCTATAGGTCCAATCTCTTTTGTTCGTTCTTCCCAAACTTTTGTAGGTCTGAATAACCTGCATGGATCCCGAGTTACATTAATGTGAACCTGTTAATAGTGAAAATACAGAAAAAGTCATTTAAGGCAATTGCAAGTACAAATGAATTAAATAATAAAGAGTAAAAAGTAAACTTGCATAGCACTGTATTTTCATATTAGTTTGGATTGAAGACCAGTAATTTATCATGCATCTGATTCTTGCTGGATACTTAGAACAAAGATACAAATCAAAAGAATGGCAATTACTAACAGAAAAGAAGTCAAATGGGGCCAGACAGTAATTACGGAGTGGTACCAAACCTGATGGAACCAAGACCACTAGAAATACAAAAATTAACTTTCAGTCCACCAAGATTATTATGCCAATATTTTAGAATTATCAGTTTATGGATCATAATTAAATGCTATGTTTCCATTGCTATTACTAATAAAGTTTAATAAAAATAATACATTTCACATATTGTTTAATATTTAAAGTTCAATTGAAAACAATTTTGCACAAAGTTAGTTTTACTAAATTCCACGGGGCTTACCAATTAGATACCAGGCATTAAACTAAAGTCTGTGTCAACAATCCTAAAACACTTAGAAGAAAAACCAAATAAATCCATTAGGAATTACTGTTAATTCATCATCTATACAGATTTAATTTTAATTTTATTTCTAAAGAAGAGAAGGTGATAGATAAGATCCTATTTTATTTTTTAAATGACATATTATGCGCTTTGTACACCTACTTCAGTTACTTTCAACTCAATTTCTTTTGCATTTTCTTTCATTCTAACTTATTTACAACTTTTCCTCTGGCTTCCATATGGGTGACTAAATTCCAGTTTCAGGATGTTATATAATGACATTTCAATAAGAAACTAATATCATATGTGATAATTTTTAAATGCCAGAGTTCTTTGAAGTCAGAGGAACACTTCTGAGAAATGTACATGGGACTGAGATATATAATGTATATTAAATTCTTACCTTCTTTCTCAGCTTAGACAATCTTTTTTCTTTTTCAATCTTTTCATCTTCCTTTGCCTGCCTTTCTAGAAACTTCAACTCAAGTTTATGCAGATCCTGAATAAAATAAATGAAATATTGCTATAAATCACTCTCTCTCCCCCTCCCCCCAGAGGCTTTTGTTTGAGATAGGCCACCATATAAATTGAATAAACAAAATAAAGAAATAAGAAATAGTTTTTTGTTACTGTTGTTACAATAGTTAAGTAGCCAGTGTCAATTCATTATTTACTATGAATAATCTTAAGCAATAACCTTGCCCAAATGGCCAGAATATGTAGCACTGTTATATTTTACATTCACCAATGAAGACTTGAATGCTACTTAGCTCTTGACTAGTTTTCTCTCTCTTCCATACAGATAGTCCTTGCATTTATAACCTTTGCAGGTCTATAAAGCAAAGGAAAGCTGAAATAAGATTATAAGGACAATCACAGTTTTAATCAGCAGCCGCTTCCCTTAACAACTAAGTTGTCAATCTCAACTGTGGTCACTACAACTGCCCTTCATTCTCATAGAACACAAGGATGCCTGAGGTTTGCAGAAATCTGCTTTGGCAACTCTCCTGCAGGCAGGGGGATATAAAGATCAAATATTGGTTAATGGATTTTTAAATTTTTAAATTGGATTTTTATTCAAGTCAAAATTTAAAACAAGTGCTTGATAAAAGCGGCTACATTAGAACTATATTAACATGGTAATAACCTCATTATAGCATCCAATTTGCTAACGCTAATACTGGGATATGATATTAGTGAACAGACTATAGCTAATCTCTATCTAAAAGTACGAAGTCAAACATGGTCAATGAATAAGAAATTTGGGATTAGGCAAGCAAGGGGCATTTGATTAAAAGAACAAAGGATATAAATGTGAAATGCAATTAGGAAATGAAATAAATACAGGGACACATTTTTGCCATATAAGGATTTGAAAAATACGTTTCTGATCTTCTTGAATGAAACAAAGGTAATTGGTGAGAGTAATATAGCTTTTGATACAGCTTGTTCCCTGAAGGGAGACTGGCTGTTCTCCTTATGACCTTCTGAGGAAGAGTGAAGAACACCTTTAGAGGTTGCTTGTATATTGTTCTCGGTGGTGAGATGATTAGTTTTTGTTGCTATTGTTATATTATCATGATATTATATATGCTATTTTGTTATTCTGTTATATTTTGTACTTTACCCAGAGTTCTCTAGAATTGGCAAAGACCACTCTTATGGATAAATAAACTGCAGTCCATTCTGACGTCTTCAAACTTAATATAGTATATTCTTTGATAACAGCATGTAGAACATCCTTCTTTTGCTTTAAGGAAATCCTGGAGAGACAACTGCTTCATGCATTTGTTTTTCACAATTACTATCTCATCAATTCAATTCTTGATTACCCTAATCAAGTGGTTATTTTAAGCCTACATGAATCATTATTTTAGAAAATAAT